TAATGTACTTCTTGAGAAGTAATTTTGATATAGGGCATATGATATAGGGATGATATATAGGCTTCCAAATAACATAAGGGGAATATTATAACTCCCAACTTGCTAGATGTCTGAAATGTGGAGTTTGTGTCCTCTAAAATCAAGGAATGAATTCTAGGAACAACAGAAGTTAAGGGTAGGAAGAATTTGTTGAGAAAAAATAGCTTCTCTCAAAGAGACAGAAGGGGGCCTGGAAAGTAGGTTGCCCACCAACACCTACCACCTTTCTCAAGGGTGTTTTATTGAGCAAAGTCACAAAGTGAGGTGGGTTCAAGGTGGGACAAAACTATAGTCAGCTAATATGATGATGAGTATAGTTGCTTAGGTAATATTGATCAAATGGGAAATCATAAGGTGGGTATGAAGTGGGACAAAACTGTGGTAAACCAGTAAGATTACAAGTATAGTTGCTTAGGTAATATTGATTAAATGGGGTCAAATGGGGAAACAAGTAATGTAGCATGCACACATGGACCAAGCAAGGGTTTTCTGGGAAGGAATGGGCTAGGGAGGTTTTGACCCCCCACCCTAAGGCGATTGATTCTTATTTAGAATATCAATCACCTCTGTTCATCCCTTGGTGAAGTATATGGGTGTAATCCTTCCTGTCTGTCCTAACGCCTGACCTGCTAGCCAGTTATCTTCTACAGTGACCTCTGGAGGGCCCAGCCCTGTCTGACTGCCTATAATATTTATAAATAATTTAGATATATCTGATAATTTCAAATTTTATCGTTGTTCATAAAAAGTGTTTGCTTAAAATGATCACAATGTCTGGTTCTTTCACTATAGAAATAGCTAAATGTAGTTAAAGACTTTGCATATAGGCCATTGTTCTGGGTACTACCATGCTTTTGAACTTTCTCAATTATTTCCTTCGACTTGGAAATTAGATCTTGTGGTGATAATTAGCAAGCATGTATCTGTATGCTTGTGGTGGTTATAGTGGCACTTATCGAATAAATGAGTGATGTTTTTAGCTCATCAATTTCAAATTTTATTGAAGGACAAAAGAACAAAAAAATTAGATTTTCCAAGTAAATGATGTAAAAAGTAGAAGATACCCTTTTGCCACTTTTCATAGCCTCTGTTTATCTAATATCTTCTGTCTTCATCTTCGAGGAAATGTGACAGCTCCATAAAATCTCTTTGAACTTTCTGTGGGTGAGTGGTAGCCTCTGAATCTCTGGACATTCTTGCCCTCTTCCTTAGCCATGTTACTGAAGCCTTGACTGGTCGCCTGCACTCTCCAGGACCCTGTACCACTTGCATTCCTTATTTTATTCAATATCTCTATCTTCTGCTTTTCCAGTGCTTCTCCTACTCATAATTGTTAAATTTTCCCCCAACTTGAGTGAAACTTGTCTGCAGTTACTGTCCTTGTCCAATCAGAAGAGTTGGCCATTCTTTACCTGTCTTCTTCCCCTTTGCTCTTCAGCGCAGTGCTTTCAGTTCTCTGTTTACCAGACTGGCTGACACTCTCCCCTCCCCTCCTCTCTTCTCTTTTTTTATTCTTTTTGTGATATTAGGGATTGAACATAAGACCTTTGCACTGAACTACATTCCCAGGCTGCCTATCTGTCTGTGTCTGTCTCTTTCTGTGTGTGTGTGTCTTATCTCTGTGTCTGTGCCCGTGTCCGTATCCATCTGTCTGTCTGTCTGTCTCTCTCCTCCTCCTATTTTGAGACAGGGTCTCTTTAACTCACTAAGTTTCCCAATCTGGGCTACAATTTGGGATCCTTCTGACTCACCCTCCTGTTCTGCTGGGATTACAGACATGGGCCAACACATTCCCAGGCTGCTTGGTGATTTTAAAATACGTTTTCAATACTGCACTTCCTTATTGCTTGCCATTCCCCAAAACTATGTCTTTGACTTTCATGTCATAATCTTTATTTTATACTTACACCTTTTAAACTACTTCTGTCTCTCATGATTGTTCTTCCTCCATGCAGCCCTCCAGTGGTGATTTATCTGGGTTGTCCCTCTGGCTTTCTGTATTCCTTACACCCATCCCCTCCCTGAGGCATCATGAGCATTTGCAGTCTCAGACCTCACCTACTCACTGTCCTAAAATGTATTTTCAGTCTAGAGTTCTCACCATCCTTAACCTCATGTAGCCAGTTTCTCAGAGAATATCTCTTCCTCGATGTTCTCTGTTTGCATTATAATTTAGATGACCGCACTTGAACTTACAGTCTCTCTTAACCTAGCTCTTTTCTCTGTGTTTTTACCAGTGCAGTTGGTCGTACCATCATCCCCCAAGTAGTCTTAAGTCAGAACTACAGGTGCATTTAATGGCTGTTCTATTTCACTGCCCAAATCCACTCAGTCAACAGACTTCTGGATTGCTTTTTGGTATTTTGTGTTCATTTCTGTGGTCAGTTGCTCTCTTTCTCTTCCACAGAAACTTCTTGGTTCATTTTCTCATCTGATATTAGGACTATAGAGGTGCTACTTAATTAACTAGTCATACTTTCATTTTACATCCTTCAAAAACTTTGTTGCTGCTATAGCCAGCAGAATGCATGCTCATTGGAAAAAACCAGCCTCTTTAATAAATAGTGCTGGGAAAACTGGCTTTCCACATGCTAAAGACTAAAACTAGACCCATGTCTGTCACCATGCACTAAACTAAAGTCAAAATGGATCAAAGATCTAAATATTAAAACAGAAACACTAAATCTATTGGAAGAGAAAGTAGGTAGAAATCTTGAAGACATAGGGATAGGCAGAGAATTCATGAACAGAAATCAAACTGCATGGAAAGTACTTCAAAAAAAGCAACAACTGAAGTATCATCTTATTAAAAAGTTTTTGTACTTCAAAAAAAAAATCACGAAAAATAGTGAAAAGAAAACCCTTTTTTTTGGGGAAAAAAATTTCAGCCAACTGCCTCTCAGACAAAGGACTTCTATCGATAACATACAGAGAATTTAAAACATCAGATCCCCAAAGTTCAAAGACCCAATCCAAAAGTGGGCTCCTGAGAAGACACACTTCTCAGATGAAATACAAATGGCAAATAAATATATGAAAAAATGTTAAAAATCGTTGCTCATTCAAGAAGTGCAAATTAAAACAGCACTGAGATTCTGTCTCACCCTAGAAAGAATTGCTATCATCAAGAAATTAACCAATAACAAATGCTGGAGGGCCTGTGGGGAAAAAGGAACTCTTCTCCACTTTTGGTGGCAGTGTAGACTGGGGAAACCACTATGGAAATAAGTGTGGAGATTCCTCAAAAAACTAGGATTGGATGTCCCATTTAACACAGCTGTTCTCCTTTTGAGTATTTTCCAAGAAGTACTAAAAACATCATACCACAGCGATACATGTACACCTATGTTTATAGCATAATACTCATAAATGAAATAAATCAGACTCACATGTGTAAACATCATATTTTCTCCCTAGTGTTTATTGTTCTTTCTGTCTAAGAAATAAACAAGAAACTGAAAGAGTAAATAAAATCCAATAACAATAATAGATATTGTGAAAAGGAAAGAAACTGCTCAAAAGGAAAGAACAACTGGGATGGGGCAAAGGAGAAAAGAAGGAAGGAAGATATATACATATATATATACACACACACACACATACACATATATACATATATATACATATACACACACAAGATAGCTAAGATAATTGTACTACAGTGTCTCTCAGTTTACTGAATGGAACAATTAGTGCTTATACTGTTTGATCAATTTTACATGCCTATATCTGGTAATCTGAGCAACTAATTTGAAGATAACAATATGCAGTGTAACAACCATTGTTAATTTCTTGTGATCTTGTTTTCAAATTCTGTATCATTTTTATTGTTTTTTTATTTTATTTAAAATAAAATAAAATTAAAAAATGAAAGTAAGACCATTTCACTTTCCCATTTTCCACCTTTTTACATCTGATTCCTACTGCTGGTGACAGAAATACTTCTCATACTTGACTTCATAGACATATTATGTGCTTTCAAATTTTCAGTAACAACTTTTCAGTTGGTTTCAATTTTGTTTTCATATTTTAGTTGCAATAATTTGAAAATATTTACCATATTTAAGCAAGATGTGGTAGGCATACATGTAATCCAGCATGCTCTGAGGCTGAGGCAGGAAGATCACAAGTTTGAGCCCAGCACAGGCCACTTAGCAACTTAATTGATGCCTGTCTCACAGTAAGAAATAAACAAGGGTTAGGGTTCAAATGTGATGTGAAGGTCCTGGTTTCAATTGCCAAAGTACAAAATAAATCTGCCACCTTTTTACCTTTTATGTGTTTATAATGGCAGGACTGTCAGGGCTATCCTCCACCCTATCATACATTTGAGAAACAACATATGGTGAAGATTAATTACCAGTACCAGAAGGATGGGGTTGAACCTTACAGTTACTAGGTTCATGGTTCGCTGCATACACACAGAGATGGTATTGGTGTATATTTATATCTGTACATCAGGTGTTTTTGAATGTGTGCTTTTGTACATGTGTGTGTACTTTTTCCAAAAGAGTGTTCATGTTATTCAAGTTTGAAATTTATTTTACCCTCGGTAGGCTAAATTCTGAGTAGTTATTTTCTGGACTCTGCATATTTCTGTCTTAATCTCTTACTCGATCCTTTCTGTGAGAGCGGCATCCAACCACATGTGACTCCTCACATACAAACTGCTGTCTTTTTCCATTTGTATCTGTGCTCTTGCACTTACTCCTTTCATTTCTGGAATTCTCTTGCCTTTTTGCATTCCCTAACTTTAACTTTGAGCTTTTGCCTCTGCTTTATCAGTACATCCAGTATCACCTCTTTCCTCTACTCAGGTTTTACGCTGCTTGTTAAATGTTTAACAAATCTTTACATCCTCCATGTAGTATTTAAAGTAAGAAAAAAAGCCATGTCCTTATTTTTATACAATGAAATTTAAGCTATAGGAAAGATAATCTTGCCGTTCCTTTCTGTTTCAGGAAACCTGACTTCCCAGGAACATAAAAGCTCTGAAAATACATTAACACTGATGGAAGATTCTGGGTATGATTTATCAAGTGAGGGGGAAACAGAACTTTCAGAGTTATCCCAGCGCTTTGTGGAGAACCACAGTGCCCCACCCTTTCCACCACTGCCTCTTGTGAAAAAAGCCCAGGCTACTCCAGAAAGTCCTCTGTCTTCTCACATGAAATTCTTGCAACATCTGCTTTCACTAAAGAATTTGACTGAATCAGGTAGTCTGGTGTTGACAGACATAACCTATTCAGAAAAGGACTCTTCCACTGTCTCTGATTCTGTTTCTCGGATGCTTGACGGCCTGATCACATTTTACCGTGACCCCAAACTTCCTTTTTCAAAGTTTTGGACAGAAGCTGTTGATACTTTAGCAAGACTGATCAATGATTGTAACTTCTCTAACCATATTTTGAAAACATGTTCTAAGAAGTTGGAAGAATTTGAAAATACCCTACTACAGGTTCTTATAGGGAGAAGCCATATAAACCGGGTGAGTAATGCTGCTTTCCTATTAATGAGTGAGATGTTAGTAGTTTTAGTGAATGCTCCATGTGTATTACTTGGTCTTTTAGCCTTGTAGCTCGGAGAGTCTCTGACCTTCTTTTGCACTTGTCAGCGGCTTTTAACTGTTGTGTGAAGCCGTTGGCTTCAGGTTGCTATGATACTGTTCTCTCCATTAGGAGAACTCTGCTTCAGGTTTGTACTTACCTACCTTGAATTACTCTCTCAATTTTAATCCACATTCTTGGATTCTTTGTTCAAGTTTTGTGCTGCTTTTATTTAATTACTGTTGCTCAAAAAGCCTCAGTACTTTTCAGAAAACTATTAACATCTAAGGTTTTGTGTGAGAACTGTGTTTCTTGTGATAGATTGACTATACTGTATTGAATTTGTTCCTTTTGGTATTGAACAGAAAGTTCCTTGAGGTCAGAGAATATTTTTCTTTTTGTTTAGAGTTTCCTTTGTGTGTTAGTCAGCTTTCTGTCACTGTGATAAAATACCTGAAATAATCAACTTTAAGTGAGATTTGTTTTGGCTCATGGTTTCCAAGTTTTCAATTAGTGATCTCTTTGACCCATTGCTTTGGGCGTGTGGTGAGGCAGTACATCATGATGGTGAGAGCATTGTGCAACATAGTTCCTCCCCTCATGGTGACCAGCAAACAGAGTAAGAGACAGGAGGGAACGAGTTATGCAGTGTCTACTTTAAGAGCATGTTCCCAATGACCCAAAATCCTTCACTAGACCTGTCAACTGTGGGTTCCAGTTCCTACCTATATTGTCACAGGCTGGCAGCCAATTCTATAATAATTCATAGGAGTGCAGGGCACATTCCAGTTCCAAGCCATCACACTTTCCAAATGGCATAATCCTCACAGACCTTCTGTGAATGTAGATTGAGTGAATTGGCTGTGGAATATACCATGTAAAGCTTTTTTCTGTTTTGCTTTATTTTTTCCTTATTTCTGCAAAATAACTTACAAAGTTTGACTTAGGGATTCTTTTTGGACAAGAGTTATTTATTTAATCTGAGGCTGTTTCATTGTTTGGCTCTTAAGACATAGTAGAGGATTTCTTTTTCATATTACTCATCACCTTTTGCTCTCTGATACTTTAATTCAAAAGTTTCAAATGCCTGTACATTTTAGTTCAATTGATTACTGAAAAAATCAAAGAGGGGCCCAAATGGTCTAAATTACACTAAATTACTCAATATATTTCACTGTAGTAATATCACCAGATCTTGTTTCTTTGGGTACATCTTTATTATTTGTCCTCAATGCCATAATCTAATGCAGTGTGGGCTTTATCTGAATATTCAGAACGCTGATAAAATTTGATTCCATGAGTTAATTTGTTGTACTTATACCTGTTCTTTCTATCTTGGTTAAGGATTGATTTGATCAATTCTTTAGACTTTTTTATGCTTCTTTCATTTATGAATGATTCTGTGTTAGTTACTTTTCTTTCATTACTGAGACAAAATCCCTGACACCCAGAGTTAAAGGAAGAAAGGTTTATTTAGCTCACAGTTTGTGGAAGTTTCAGTTTATAACCGGCTGGCTCCAAGGCAGAGTGGCACATGGCCGAGGGCCAACAGTTCATGACAGTGGAAAAAAGCAAAAGCAATAAGCCAGTGAGAGAGAACAAGCCTCGTTCTGTCCTAGTCTATTGGGATTAGGGCAGTGCCAGTCCAATCAGTGGACTGATCCAGCAGTCATCCACCCTTAATTCCAGTGCCCTTAATCCCAGTATTGAACCATGAATCAATCACAAACTACATTCAGCTACCTCTGAAAAGTCCACCCCCATGACTGCATGAGGCTTTGGAGGGACATCTAGACAGAAACCATACCAGATGCTCAATTTTCTGTCTGAGAAACTACAGTCATTTTCTGCTGGATATAGTCAATTAGGAATTAAATACTAGATTTTCCATGTTTGTATCTGAGATACTGACCTGGTCTGTTTTCAGTTGCTGTGGTAGAATCCTAAAGAGAAGGTGATTTATAAAGAAAAAAAACGTTTGTTTTGGCTCACAGTTCTGGAGGTTGGGAAGTCCAAGAGCATGGCACCATCATCTTCTTGACATCCTCGAGGCCCTTCTTTCTGCCTCATTGTATAATAGAGGGCATCACACAGTGAGACAGAGCCAGAAGTGCTAGTGCAGGTCTCCCTTCTTCTTCCTATAAGGGCATAAAGGACATTAGGGGGCCCTCACCCTCATAACCTCATCTAATCCTGTTTTTCTCAAAGGCCCCAGCTTTAAATGCCATTAACATATGAATTTGGAGATTAGATTTCCAACATATAAACTTTTAGGGGACACATCAAATACTAGCACATATACAGTACAATAATGTAACAGTAATATTGGCAAATAATATTCCTTAATCTTTATATTTTGCTTTTCCATTTAAACCTATTGTAAATTAGTTCTGTATTAGTTGGAACCTTGCAGATACTGTCATTTATACTCCTCATCATGGTCTGCGGGTGATGCATGTATTTTTTCTATCTTGTCTTCCTCTTATACAAGGTTCAGAGCCTGATATTTCTTAAACCCACACAAAAGTAGTCTTGAGAAGTTCATGAGTGTAAGAGAATTGGTCAAAGAAGTTTGTGATGACAGAGATGATTCTCCAGTGTGTTTTTCCATACCATTTGCCATTGGTCCGGCTATCACTAAGTAATTGATCAACAGAGAACATGAGAATAAATGGCTGTCTGGAAGAGGTAATTGTGTTCAGAGGAAGTGGAATATAAAATTGTTCTCCTCATTTCCAGTTAGGGATGATGATTAATAAATGGATTTTAGTGGCATTCTCTCCAGAAGGGTTTTTTTTTTTTTTTTTTTGTCTTGCCCAGCAAAAGCATTTTAGACTAAACCAAAGTTCTGTCATTGTTGTCCCTATTATCACCATGATTAGCATCATAATTATCTGGATATGTTTAGAAATCTTGATTCTTTATTGGCAAAATTGGCTAATATTTGCTATTTATGAATGCTTTTAAGTCTTTTTTTTAGCTTTTTTCAAGTAAAAATAGTCTTAAGAAAGAATATTTGGACATGATAAGGTAACTCCTATTACTGCATTTTATTGAGCCTACTCTTGATACTTTAATACAAAATCATCATTTAGAAAAAATTGGCTTCTAAGAAACTTGCTTCCATAAATGAGAAATCTTTAATTAAATTGTATTACTTAAAAATTTAACTCATTCTGATGGTTTCATTAAAGTGAACTTATGTTTGACCATTGTGATAGATAATGTTGTTGTATGAGTACTTTAACATCCTATAAAGGGTTACTGTTATGGTTTGTGTCTGTATGTCCCCCCAAATTATCATGCAGTCATGGGGCAGGCTTCTAGAGTTTATGATTGATCCGTGGTCCAATGCTGGGATTATGGGTGTGAGTGCTACATCTGCCCTGGGGCGGGTGGTTTTGCATACAATGTAAGGGAGAGAAAGAGGCGGCTTGTTGCCACTCCTCCCTTTTGCTCTTGCTGCTTTTGCTGTCTTCTGCTGCCGTGAATGGCTGTCCTGTGCCATGTGCCCTCCTGCCTTGGCACCACCTGCATATGGACTGAAACCTCCGCAGACTGTAAGCTAAGTAAACCTTTCCTTCCTTAATTTTGGGCTTTGGGTATTTTGTCTCAGCAATGAGAGAAAAGTAACTAAGACAGTTACACATTTTTATAATTCATGTATATGTTTTATATAGAGTAAGTTTTCAAAAAGTAGTTAAGTAAGTTCAGTAGTAAAATTATTCTGACTATACTTAGTTTTCTAAAAATACAATGAATAACAACTTGGTAACTTCCAAAATTTTTAGATTACCATTGTGAATGGTAATTACCATTGTTGGAGGCTGTATGCGTTAAAGAGTGGAAAGTTGAAGTAAGAAGACCTGGAAATTGCCTGGAAATTGCTTTAATAATTCCCTAGTCTTATTGTGGTGGAAATTATTAATAAGTTTAGGGGGAAAGTACATTTGTGCTCTCACAGATGTAGATAAATGCTTTTTCTTTTTGCTATTGTAGGTACTTTATATTAACTAAAAAGTAAATAATTTAGAAATTGTTCTCTCAATCTTGTATCTTTTTTATTTTTTAGAGTAACTGTGAATGTGGGACTGGAGAAATTAATCTGCAGTGACATTTTATTAAATGTGTGCTTGAAACCAAATGCCTTACAGGGGTCTGCACAGTTCCTTCCTCTAGGGGTCCTGGGAAACATTCTTCACTTAACTGGTGGCTCAGCTTGCTTCTACTTATCTGACCAATATGGCACTTTCATCACTGGGCTAGGAGTGCCTACGTTTTAGGTCTTTAATGCCCTTTATCTAACTGGAATCTTGGCCTTTGTTGTGTTACTGACCTCTCCTATACTTTAAACTTCAAAGTGTGTTATTTCTGTGCTTATAAACACTGTGAGCTAATATTAGCATTGCACTTCCACCTATTTTTTTTTTACAGGTTATCATATGATACTGTGGTACTCTCAGAAGGCTATCTTACAATCACAATACACATGATTATATTTAGCTCTTTAAAGACTATGTTTTTCATCTTTCATTTTTCTCTGACAAATTAGAATGACTATATTAAATCTATTTTAATCTATTTTTTATCATTGTGCTTTTGGGTAATTAAAATATGTTGCTAAATCTTAGATTTATAATACTATATTGAGGTATTTAGAAAACATTTTCCTCTCATTTCATGTCCTTTTAAGCCATTAAACAACTCTTGGACATATTAGTTGTGGAACGGAAATTAGTTGTGGAGCTAAAAATAATTAATTTAACATTAAATTAAAATTTTTGTTTAAGTGGTCAGCAGAATAATGATCCCCTCAAAGATTTTACAGTATAATCCCTAAAACCTGTATTATGTTTCATGGTTAGGAATAGGGCAGAAAGTACATAACAATTACATTTATCATGGGGAGTTGATACATATTCATAACCATGTTATTTCTTTT